GGGGTGGATGGGGCGAAAAAGGATGGTGTCGGAGGCGAGGAAGGGCGCAGAGCTGTCGAACTGCAGAACGGAGACGCAGCGCATGTAGTTCTCGCAGGGCTCACGCAGACACACGTTGTCATCAAAGGGCAGGACGCGCTGGGCCGTGGTGGCCGCCAGGAGCGACCGGTTAAGGTACAGCCGCTCCTGCAGCTCCTCCGACGAGAAGAATCGCGACGCGCCCGGCACCGCCGCTGGCAGCAGTGCCGAGAGGCTGACATTGAGGATCCGCGCCGGCCCCACGTCTGTGTCCGTCTGGATGTTGAAGAGGACGACGCGGTGGCGGGGAGTGGCCAGGACAGAGGCCACCCCCTCCAGGAAGCGACTGAGCAGCGGGGACAAGAAGCGCTCCTGGGACATGTCGGCCAAACGCAGGGTGATGCTGTTGCTGAGCATCTCATCTGTGATCACCGTCACGCGCAGTATGCACTGCGCTGTTGCGCTGTGAACGCCATCTGGGGACAAAGGGAGGACAAAGGAGGGGCTCAGTGACAGAAGTGGACAACTCTGTTAAAGGATGGTGGGATGGGAATAGTGCTGGATACGGGGCAACCAACCGAATCAGCTGCTGTTGGATGGGGACGGTGCTTTGGGGCTTGACCTGTTTGCCCACCACAGAATAGGGACAGCACTGGCCATGTAGCCACTGTGGAATGGGGACAATACAGGCTATGAGGTGCCCATCCCGCTTGACCAGAATGGAATGGGGACAGTCAGGTGGGGACAGTGCATGTTATGGGGGACCTTTCCTGCTCAGCCACTAGGGAATGGAGACAGTGATGGTTATAGGGTTGCTGCTGGTTATGGGGTTGCCCATCCCACCTGGCCATCACAGGGTAGGGACAGTGGAATGGGGATGCTGTTAGCAATGGGGCTGGAACTGGTTACAAGGCTCCTGTCCCATCTGGCAACTACTGAATGGGGACAGCACTGGTTATTGGGCTGGTGCTGGTTGTGGATGCCCATTCTGCCTGACGACCAGGGAATGCGGACAGTGTGTGTCATGGGTGCCCATCCTTCTTGGACACTATGGCATCTGAATGGGGTTGGTGGTTAGTTATGGGGTTGGGGCTGGTTACGGGGCTGGTTCTGTCTATGAGGCTGAGGCTGGTTATGGAGCCAGCACTGGTTATGGGGTTGGTTACTGGCTGGTTTCTGGGGCTGGGGCTGGTATGGGGATGGTGTTGGTTAAGGGTTTGGGGCTGGTTATGAGGCTGGTGCTGGTTATGGGGTTGGTGTTGGTTGTGGGGCTGGGGGAGCAAAATTTCTGCTAAGCACTGGGGCACCCACCCTTCTCCTCCTCCTCCTCTTTGTCCTCCCCCTGGCCAAGGATAGCAGGATGCAGGAAAGATGAGGAGCAGGCAGAAGGATGAAGGGAGCACAGGGACAGGTGGGGGGCCAAGCAGGCAGAAGGGGGTACTGAGGGGGAGCAGCAGAGGTCAGGGCTGTCCAGTGGCCCATGGTCAGTGACTGGTGGCCAGTAGCCAGCAGGGGGGAGAAGGTTGCCATGGCTGCGGCCACAAGGGCCCAGCTATGGCTGGACCTTTTGTTTCCCTCCTGCCTGTCCCTGCACTAGTGGGGGAAGGAGGGGCACGGGGAACTCCCAGCCCCCACCCTTTGTGCCCTGAGCCCCCTACATTGTGTGGCCAGAGCAGGGACTCTGGCAAGGGGAAGCTGGAGTGCAATGGAGGCCATGAGGCTGGGGACAACGGACATCGGGCATGGCCTGTGACCCAGTTTCCCCCGACCTGGAAGTGACCAAGGAGATGTTCCCCCACCTTGATGGGTGACTCCCATCCTCCAGAAGCACCTCCTGGACACCCCACCACCCAAATGGTGCTGACAACTGATGGCACAACCCCCCTTATCTTGTGACCTCCCCACAAACTGGGTTTTGGGACCTCTCAGTAGAGGTCAGGGTGCCCCCTCAAATACACACACCAGGCCCTGTGTCTCCTGCCCCGAATTAATTCAAGTTGAGTCTCCTGGAAACACAAACACTGTGGTGCTAGGACTCTCCCAGTACTACACTGCACCCTGAGCCTTCCCAGATTTACCCGTCAGACCCCCATAACAAGCCCCCAAGGGTACCAGCACCCCACTGCCCCACACCAGCCTCTGCTCCCCCAACACCTGCAGTGGGGTCTGCCCCACTCTGCCCGGTGACACACAGAGAAGTGCCAGGACCACCTCTGGACAGCCCAGGAGGGTGGGGAAAGCAAAGGGGTTGCTAGGGACCCCAATGACCTCCAGCTTAGATGTCGGGGGTGTGAGCAGGGCACAGCATCCCATTATCTCCCCTCCCCTGGATCTGGAGGGTGAAGGCAACCAGGATGGAGTGGTGGAACTCCAAAACACCTCAGTGGGGTGGTGGGACCCCACAACACATCATTCCTTCTGATCTGGAGGGTGGGGGTAGCCAAAATAGGGTAGTGAGACCCCATAACACCTCACTTCCATGCAGAAATAGAGGTCAATGTACCCACAAACCTCACTCACCTCCCCCTGCAGGGGGGAGCCCTTCCATGGGTGGGGGTCTTACCAGAGACAGACACCCTCATGATGGCTTCAAGTGGGCGGTTGCTGTCCAGGGCTGGGCTGAGGCGCAGATCCCCACTGTGCGGGTCCAGCAGCACAAGGTTGAGCTCATTGCCCTGCTCAAACGCGTAAGTGAGGTGGTCAGAGACATCAGGGTCATGGGCAGGGATGCGGCCAATGACGCCCCCAGGGAAGCTGCTGGAGCGGCTGGTGATGTAGTTGTTGAAGAGGATCTCAAAGTTCTTGAGCTGGGGGCTGTTGTCATTGGTGTCACGCAGGAGCACGTGGATGGTGGCCCGACTAACCAGTGGTGCTGAGGTTGCCTGGACCACCATGATGTATTCGGCCTTGGTCTCATAGTCCAGGTCAGCCAGGGCAGTGAGCTCTCCAGAGAAGATATCTAGCTGAAAGACCTCTGGGATGTTGCCCTCCACAATCTGGTACATGATCTGGGCGTTGGTGCCCTCATCAGGGTCAGTGGCAGTGATCCGGGCCACCACCAGCCCAATGGGGCTGTTCTCCTCCACAAAGATGTCAAACTCATCCCGCGCGAACACAGGCGGGTTGTCATTAACATCCAACACTGTCACCTGGATCTCCACTGGCGTCCGCCTGGCTGGAATTCCCTTATCCACAGCGAATGCCCGCAGGGAATACAGCGGCACATTCTCCCGGTCCAAACGGCGCAAGGTGCGGACAATGCCTGAGGTGGATTCAATGATGAAGTCACCATCACCATCATCACCCCCTTGGAAGGTGTAGAAGACCCTGCCGTTGAGCCCGGAGTCACGGTCAGTTGCAGAGACCTGGAGGACGCTGGTGAAGGTGGGGACATCTTCATAGATGGATCCCTGGTAGGAATGACGGAGGAACTGGGGTGCATTGTCATTGACATCACTCACCAGGATCTCCAGGTAAGTTGTGTCAGATTTCTGTGGAATACCATTGTCCCGTGCCGTGATGGCCAAGGTGTAGGACACCTGGTCCTCATAGTCCAGCTCCATCTGGGTGGTGACAGCACCAGTCTCAGCAGCAATGCTGAACTGGGGGATGCTGTCCTCCATCAGGTAGGTGATGCGGGCATTCTCCCCTGTGTCCTCGTCTGTGGCACTGATGACCACCACTGTTGTGCCCACTGGTCGGTCCTCATTGATGCTGATGGTGTAGTGGGAGCTCTGGAAGACAGGGCGGTGGGTGTTGGCATCGGTGACATTGACAACCACCTGGGCAGTGTCCTGGCGAGTGCCATCAGAGGCAGCAATGGTGAGCAGGTACTGCCGCTCCAGCTTGTAGTCCAGGGGCAGGGCAAGGGAGATGAGCCCACCACCGCTCTGGCTGGTGATGGAGAACCGGTTGCGGGTGTTGCCGCTGGAGATCTGGTATGTGATGATGCTGTTAGCATCACGGTCAACAGCAGAGACAGTCAGAACACTAGTGCCCACTGCTGCATCCTCGTTCAGGCGGGCGCTGTACTCCCGCTGGGTGAACTCAGGGCTGTTGTCATTGACATCCAGGATGGTGACACTGACACTGGCCGTGGAGGCCATTGGGGGGGTGCCCTGGTCCTGCGCCTCCACCCTGAAACTGTAGAAGTCAACCACCTCCCGGTCCAGCTCAGAGGCCACCACAACCCACCCGGTGCTGTTGTTGATGGTGAAGGGGAAGCCAGTTCCAGTCTCCAGCAGGGTGTAAACTAACCGGCCGTTGTCACCTGAATCAGCATCAATGGCTTGTACATGGATGACAGAGTAGCCCACAGGGACATTCTCCAGCACAGTGGCCTGGAAGGGTGTGCTGACAAAGATGGGTGCATTGTCATTGACATCCAACACCTGGATGGTAACCAAACCACTGATGTTGGAGAGAGGTGGGCGGCCACCGTCCTGCGCCCGGATCCGCAGCGTGAACTCTTTGGTGACCTCATAGTCCAGGGGGGTAACGACGTCCAGTATGCCTGTCTGTGCATCAATGTAGAAGTGCCCACGGGTGTTGCCACTGACAATGCTGTAGTGCACCAACGCATTGCTGCCTTTGTCACGGTCAGTGGCCATCACCTGCAGAACTGCCGCATTGGGCCCCACGTCCTCGGGGACCTGTGCAATGTAACGCCGCTCACTGAACTGTGGTGCATTGTCATTGTCGTCCTCCACAGCGATGCGGACAGTGGCCGTGGCACTCCGGGGACCTGGATCCTGGCCCTGGTCTGTGGCCTCCACCAACAGCTCAAAGGCATCCACTACTTCCCGGTCCACAGAGCCACGGGTGCGGATGACACCTGAGCGGGAATCGATCTCAAAGACCTCGTTGACATCACCGGCATTGAGGAGGCGATAGAGAATGTTGGCATTGGGACCAGTGTCGCCATCAGTGGCTCGCACTGTCAGTACCTCATAGCCCACCTCCAGATTCTCTCGCACACTCTCCTGGTATTCTGGCTGCTCAAAGGCTGGGTCATGGTCATTGGTGTCACTCACTGTCACTGTCAGTGTGGCCATGGCACTTCGCCGGGGTGTCCCATGGTCGACAGCTGTCACGCGGAACACGTGAGTGCTCTTGCTCTCGCGGTCCAGCGGTGCAGCAGTGCTGATAGCACCAGTGACAGGGTCCACAGTGAAGAGGGCATCAGAGCGGCTGTCGAAGAGTGCAGCCATGGTGTAGTGCAGCCGGCCTGCCTCCCCCTCATCAGGGTCTTGTGCTGTCACCTGTGTCACCAGTGTGCCTGCTGACCGATTCTCCTCCACTGTGGCCTGGTAGCTGGAGGGCTGGAACTGTGGTGCTGTGTTGGGGCTGCGGTGGAGGCGGTGGTGAGGTATGGGGGGCCTGGGGACCACTGTGATCTGGGACTCCCCAACATCCCCAGTGGCCATCACATTCCCAGTGCCGCTGGTCTCTCTGGGGATGTTAGTGTCCCCAGCATGTCCAGTGTCCATAGTGTTCCTGTTGTTGCTGGGGGTTTTCCCAGTCTCCCCATTATGTTCAGTATCTCTGGTGCTCCCAGTATCGCTGGGGACTTTCCTAGTGCTTCCAGGATCTCTGGAGACTCTCACAGTCTCCCCAGGGAGTTCAGAATTCCTACTGCTCCTGGGGACTGGAGTGCTCCCAGTGCCCCAAACACTCCCAGTTCTCAGCTCATTCCCAGTGCTCCTGGTGTCTATGGGGATGTCGGTATCCCCGGTGTGTCCAGTATTCCCGGTGCTCCTGGTGCTCCCGAGGACATGGGTGCTCCCAGTGTCTCCAGTTCCTCCAGTAACCCTGGTGCCTCCACTATCCTGGATGCCTCCAGCGTCCCTGCTGTTTCCAATGCCTGCAGTGCCTCCAGCGTCCCTAGTGCCTGCAGGTTTCCAGGTGTCTCCAGCATTCACGGTGCCTCCAGTGGGGCCGCCGATACCTGGGGACCCCCTACCGCCGTCGCCGCTGTCACCGCTGGAAGAGCCGATGCCTGGTGAAGTCCAAACGCTGCTGCCTGCGGCCGGTGCGGGCCCAGCGCTGTCGCCGCTGTCCCCGGTGCTCGGCGTGGGCCGCGCGCCGCCA